AGGGGGAGTTGTAAGGAAGAAGATATAAAAAAACGAATTCATTCTTTTTTCTTTTTTTTCGCTTTTGCGCTCTCATATTCATGTGGTGATATATATATATATACAAGTGGGTCGATATGACACACGGGGGTGGGGGCAGCCGCCGCTCAAGCTACATCCACGTGGGCGGCCTTGTACGCAAAAGAGGTTCTTTCTGAACAGGGGGAGTTGTAAGGAAGAAGATAAAAAAACGAATTCCTTTTTTCCTTTCTTTTTTTCTTTTTTTTCACTTTTGCACTCTGGTATTCATGTGACGATATATACGATATATATATCTGTTTGTGACGATATATATGTATTTCTTTCTTTTTTCCTTTTTGTTCGCATTTGCGCACTGATACTCTTGTGACAATATATAGCAACTATACTACCTCAGTAGGCTTCACTGTAAATGTCTTACAGTTAGCGTTCCACGGTCGCCCCCTTCTTATGCAATGTGCATCATGCGGCGTCAGGCGATGGATGACCTTAATGACCATCCTCATATATTTCTGCCTGCATTTTGCACAGACCTGGGCATTATGTGGCGCTCATTCGTGCAGCTGCCCGGTGGGAACTGTGGGATGGTGGGACGATGATTAAGACTATTTTCAACGCAAATGAATTGTTGCGTGCATTGCCGAATCATACTTTATTATTCTGGACGATTGACCGACTCTCGTGTGACACCTGTCGGGACAGGGACGCGGTGCGCCTTGGCTGTGGAATTCGTCATCTATGCCATCACCATTATCAATCTATCGCCACCGCTGCCGCCGTCTGTGCCGAAGGGTGTCCAACATTTCCTCATTGTACACACATCCCTCCCTATCACCCAGATATTCGTTGTCCCTTTTGTGCGCGAGGAATCTATCAGGACTGCATGATGCGCACTGTGATGAACGTCCTGCTGTTTTGTTGACGCGCGGACAGCATGCCCTTTGTCAGGACTGTTTTGATGGGATGGTCCGTGCTAGCCGTCCTGCTGAATGCTGTGCTGAAGTAGCTCTCCTTGGGTATCCTTGTGAACATCCACGTCATCCTCCTCAGCGTGCCTGTCCTAAACCCTAAACCCTAAACCCTAAACCCTAATCTGTCGCGGTGGGGTGGGGGCTCCTCTTCCTGACTGGTCAATAGAATCAAGCAGGTCAGGAGCAACACTAATTGTAGGACAGATAAAGCTTTCGATACTACCAACAGATGTGGAGTTGAAGAAAGAAGAAATAAAAAATTGAAAAAAGTTCAAAAACGAAAAAACGAAAAAAAAAAGAAAAAAAAAAGAAAAAAAAGGAGAAAAAGAAAAAAAAAGAAAAAAAGAACAAACTGCTGAAGAAAAGGGAAAAAAAAACAAGAAAAAAGAAAAAAGTATGTTGAACTTTGTTGTGACAGTGGCAATTGGTTTATAAACTTTATCTAACTTTATCTGTGGGATGTGTCAAAAAAAAAAAAAAAAAAAAAAAAATCTGTGGGATGTGTCATTTGCTTTGTTTGACTGATAGGCTTTCCTCTTCCCTTGTCCTTTCTTTCTTTGACTGGATCCCTTTCTCTTTCTCTTGCCTGTGTGAGGTTTGGTTTCCTCCTCCTTTTCTTCACCTCGTTGCCTTTTGGCTGCGTGGAAGTGGGTCCTTGTGACACACGGGGATGAGGGCAGCCAGCGCTCAACCTGTCATCCACGTGGCTGGCCTTGTACGTAAAGAGGTGATGAACAGGCGGAGCTTTCCTTCCTTCCTTCTTCTTTCCCTTTTTTTGTTTTGTCTTTTTCCACCTTTGCGCTCCGATTCACAGTGTGACAATATATTTTACATAAAGATGTATAGGTTTGTCCTCCCGTTTCCTGAGTTGGTGACCTGGCGCAAGGTCCCGCTTATATTTGGATTCCTTATCCCTCACCGTCAGATCACCAGCGAGAAAGAACGAATCTGGTCAAGGTTTCGTCATCCCTCACCATCAGATCAACAGCTAGAAACAATGAATCTGGTCGAGTTTTCGTCATGGCAAAGAGTCATGTGATCACCGTGAGATCGATGGCCAGGAAGGGACAATCCTGTCAAGTGGGGCCTTTTTTTTTTTTTTTTTTTTTTTTTTTTCAGAGTTTTGTCCTGTGCTTGAAGGAAGGATCCACTTGCTCTTTTTTTTTAATTTTTAACTGCTTGCTTGGATTTTTATCGACGACCGGCAACGGAGAGAGAATCTTGTGAATTAGGGAAAAAAGAAAACAGAAAGGAAAACGAGAAAAAAAACAAAAACAAAGCCAGGCAAATGAGACCTGGAAAGTGTCATTATCCAAAAAAAAAAGAAAAAAGAAAAAAAAAGAAAAAAAAAGAAAAAGAAAAAGAAAGTGTTATTATGCTAGTGTGATCAACATCGCAATCCATGACCAGATCAAATTCGGAGAAAAAATAAAAATAAAAATATCAAATTCGGAGACAGAGCTTAGCTTCCTGGCGCCAGAAAAAATAAATAAATACTAAATAGCGAATTCAGAGAGAGAAGCCGTTGCAGCTGAGACAGAGCTTAGCTTTTTGGTGCCGTTGATCTCATGCTGAATTTGATATTTATTCGTTTTCTTTTTTAAAGTTTAATGTGCGTTCCCTGTGATGAGAACCAGGGTTATCACGCGGGGATCCCCGGGGCCCGAGCCGGGTTGGGGGTTTCACCCCCGGACCCCCGCAGCGGGGATCACCGACCCCCGCACCCCGCCATCCACCCCCCCCCCCCCCCCCCCCCCCCCCCCCTGTGCCCCAACCCCGGCAACCCCGCCCACGGCCCTGCAACCCCGCCCCCGCCCCCGCCCCCTGGTTGATTGATTGTCATATTCAACTTTCGAGCAGAGTGTTGCAGACAGGATTGTGTTGGTGCAGTTCATTCTCTTTGGTCTGGTCCACAGATCTGTGTTAATAATGAAATGGTTTTCGCCTTTGCAGAGGCAGATGCAGATCCCAGGGTTCGATCCCTAGACCTTACCTGCACCCATGTACAGTATCGAGTAGACCCCTGTGTTTTGAACCCGCGACCTGTGTTCTAGTAGTGACTGTACCTTGTCATAGGTCCCTGTAGTTGTAGGGGTTCAATCTGTAGATCTGTCAAGTAGGGGTTACAGATGTGTAAAGGTCGAAACTGCTAGGCTAGAGGTCTGTAGGTAAGTCGTAGGTCCAGCTGCGTCGAGTAGGCAGTGCGACTGCATCGAGTCGGCAGTGCAACGCCGTGCAGTCAGCGGTACCGGTCAAGTCAGTCGCAGTCCAGTCAAGCAAGTACCGTGTGGGACTGTGTGCACCGAGGGCCTGGAGGAAAGGGGCAGACCAGCGACCAACAGAAGTATTAATCAAGAGGCAGCGTCCAGGGATGGGATCATTCGCTGCGTAAGCCATGCGGAAGCGCTGTCTCAAGCGACTTGTGCGAGGTGGTCTGCAGAGCGCCCAAAGACGAAGTGGGCTGGAAGAAGTTAGCGTAGCCATAGTTAGTGGTTAAGCGGCCATAGCCGCTGTAGATAGGGGAGAGACGCAAGAGTGTGTATATGTGTGGGGTATTCAGGGTGATCCAGAGTTGAGTGTGTGCGAACAGTGGTGTTGGGGACAGTGCCGAGAGTTGGGTTGTACAGGCGCTGAAGCGCCATAGCCTGTTGAAGCAAGTTTGCGCCTGAACTGTGTTCTCGAGTTCCATATCTCTGAGTTTTGAGTGGGCGCTGTGCGCCAGTGTGAATCGCCATCTGTTTGCATGTATGTGAAGTGAAGAAGAAAGCGAGTCTGGTTGCAATAAAATTGAAGGATATATAAAAGAAGAGATGTACAGAAAGATCTGGCAAATGTGTACGTTGTATAGTTTGTTTTTCCCTTTTTTTTTTCTTTTTCCCTTCCCTTTCTGAAAACACCCTCTTTCATGTCATGGGACTGGATTCGTTTTTTTTTGGATAAAATTTGTGTGTGTGTGTGTGTGTGTGTGTGTGTGTGTGTGTGTGTGTGTGTGNGAAAAAAAAATATGTTCGCCCGAACATGTTCGCGAGCTGTTCGCGCGAACGCGCGAACACACGAACGTGAAGGGGCGCGAACATGTTCGCCGTGCAACGCAGCTCCTGACAGCGTCTACGGAAGGTTTGGACATTTAGTGAGAGCTTATTTTCTCGCTATAAAGGGGTTTTGTAGGCCTGCCCCTGTCTCTTATACACATCTAGAGGGAGAGAGGGGGAGAGAGAGAGAGAGAGAGAGAGAGAGAGAGAGAGAGAGAGAGAGAGAGAGAGAGAGAGAGAGAGAGAGAGGTGTACAAGTCACCAGTTATAAGCGTATGTCTTCCTTTTTTTTTTTCCTTTTTCTTTTGAAGCCGCCAGGGTCAAGATTCAACAGTAAAAACCTGATTTACAGGACGAACTGGGGGCAGCAGGACATCATCACACCTGCTACCTGTTTGACTGAATTTTGCTGCAATTCCAGCAAGATTCATCCCGAGAACTCCCCCTGGATCACACTATAAACACGACTCCTTTTTTGGCACCATCTGTGCTATCTTTTCGTTACGATCGATTCCAACTTTCCTCTGTAGGTAGTTGTCTTTTTTAGGTGTCTGAGCCAGAGGGAGATCGCCCACTGCAGCTGTGCCTACCTTCCTCCACCTAACACCAAGACACTTTTTTTTATGATTTGTGTGTTTTTTTTGTTTTTTTTTTGAGACTTGCAGGGAGGCGCGGAAAGTAGGAGGGAATTAATTGCTGGACCGGGAGCAAGCTTTTTGCAAACAAAGAGGCGCTTCATGCCGTTTCAAATACAGAAGAAGATAGGTTGTTGACTTTATGCAACCGATCGACAGGGATGCTGCTTGTGCTGTCGTAAAATGAGCTTATCACTGTTATCTGTCAATCAGTCCCTTTGTCATTTATTCATTTTTGTAAACTCCATGCAGTTGTAAGTAGTCAATTCTTATCATTCAATTACTCCATTAGGCAATCTGTCGATTAGCCCGTCAGTCTGTTAGTTGATTAGTGGAGTCGTCGTGTCGTCGATTCGTCGAGCTTGTGTCGAGCTTGTGTCGATTTGTGTCGATTTGTGTCGAGTAGGTTTTAAGGCTTCATGGCGTGTACGCCTAAACAACGATTTGTGTCGAGTAGGGTTTAAGGCTTCATGGTTTGTAAACCTAAACAACGATTTGGGTCGAGTTGTGTCGAGTAGGGTTTAAGGCCTCATGGCGTGTACGCCTAAACAGCACTATGCCACGAGAGTTTGAGTTTCAACTTTCAAGAAAGGCGGTGAGTAAGCGTCTGTCGAGCAAAGCTGTCACCATTGGCCGACGAGGATGCTCTGCGGCGGAATGCGGTTTTCAACGTTTCTTACCCAGGAACTGAACTGAACTGAACTGCAAAGTGATCGTGACATTTACGCCGCCACCCGGTTGGCGGAATGTTTAGTGGGACGGATTGGAGATTGAGTGGTGGCTAACGATTCTACCCAATCTTGTGCCTGGTTTTGTCGGCCGTCGTTATACATTATTTCTTTTCGATGCACAGTCTATGGGCAGGCTCAATCATGTCTGTTTGCCGGATTCCTGGTGATGATTAGTTTGTGCTTGCATACAATTGAGACGCCTATCTTGCTGCGTGCGTGGCTCTGCTCCTAGCCTCATCTCCCCCCACCCCCCACCCCCCACCCCCCTCTTTTCCACACCCCTCTCCTCCCCACCTACTGTGTATGTGAGGTAGTACTTCGTCAAGTGTCCTAGTTTTTCTGTCTGTCTTGCGACTCTTGCCCTCTACAGGGATAGTCATTTTGTCATTTCGTTTACGTAGACTTTAACCCCCATCCTTTATGAGCTCTTGAAAGGGGGTGTGGTGCATTACCCTTGTTTTTTTTTAAATCTTGGGAAGGGTGTCTTGTTAACTTGTTACTGTTTTCTACACACTGCCTTTTCTACACACTGCCCTTTTTGTCCTTTCCTTCGATGATCCGTTCTGCCTCGACAATGGGATGTCTGCTTGGACCTCCTGCCGAATGCTCAGTAAAGCCGTATGCTGTTCTGCTACTATGTTTGCTGTGTACGACCCCCATTCGTACGGTCAGCGATCTTGAGACTGCTGCTGAGGTTGCTACTGCCAAGATTCTACTTGATAATGACGGAGCAAGGAGTAATAGTACGACAACTATCGCTCCGAGCGCAGGCAATCCCTTGGTGGCGTCCTCATTGTCGTCGTCAGAGCCGCCAATTGCTCCAGATACACCAGCACCCTCTGCGGGTCTTCCTGGTTCTCAGAATTCCTCCGACACCCAGCCCCTCGTCCAGCCAAGAAACACGCCCCCGCCACCGCCATCGGAGCCTTCGTCGCCTCCGGTGTCCGTGTCGTCCTCGTCAGGCTCGGCAGCCGGGTCTGTGGTATCGACATCCACGCCTGCAGCATCAATGAGCAAACCGTCGAATGGTCCCTCGTCGCCAAGTGGTGTGTCTTCTTCGCAATCCTCTCCAGCTCAGTCAGAGCCGAGCTCAGCGAGCTCTGCTTCCACGGGGACGAGCGTGACTCCATCTTCGTCAACTCCTCCGCCTTCAACACCAGGCGCACCTGCTTCTGTGCCTCAGGGTTCGCCCTCTGACGTCCCCTCCTCCCCGTCATCCGCGTCCCCACCAACCTCAGCCGGATCATTGCCGTCCTCTCTGTCTTCTGATCTTCCGTCTTCCAGTTCGTTGGGCTCCCCAGTGTCTTCCGCTGCGACTTCCGTGCCACCCAGCGGCCCTCTTTCGATCGCCTCTTCCGACTCGCAATGGAGGTTCAACATTTCAGCCTTTGGAAGTGACCTATCGCCGTCGGGAGCTAGTGCGAGTAGTAGTGGGGCCTCGGAGGAGGCCCCCGCAGTGAAATCGCCACAACCTGTTGCTGTGCCAGAGGCGCCTTCACCCCCGAATATCGGCGCGATTCTTGGTGGGGTTTTCGCGGTGGCGGTCGCGTGCGGAATGATAGTTGTCGGTATCTGCTGGTTCCAGAAGACGCGAGATGACCAGTATGTCAGACACACACCTCAAGACATTGGCGATCTGTGAGATGGATGGGCTTCTATCAACAACAGAAGGGTGCACAAAGGGGGTTATCTTTATCGACTCCGTGTTCATTTGAATGGCAGAGAAAGTGGAGCTCAAGGAAGACGGAAAACGCGTGTACCTTTCAGAGCTCGTTGGCGTGCAGGTCCCCACAGAACTGACTACCATGAGCTCATTTGTATGCATGCCCCCACACAGGCTGCCTGCCACGGTGTGGTTGGGCATACCTTCGCCTGGGGGCTGATCATCAGAAGAGGATCACTGGAGCACAGTGGCGGTAGTCCGCACAAAGCGAATTGCAAGGGAGAGTGGGAGATGGGTGCATGGGGAAGGGAAGGGGACGGGGGGGAAGGCGGGGGAAGGCGGGGGAGGTGGTGTTGATTTTGAGGCTCAAGCAACCCTTGCTCTTGTTTTTTGTTCGTTAGTTTTGTCCAGATGAGATGAAGGAGGTGGGTTACTGGAGATTGTGCGATATGTCAGAGATGAGCACGCTTGCTTAGTGCGAAGCAGCAGCAGTGGAAGAGAATTTCGCGGGAGGGAAGAGAAAAAGAGAAAAATAAAACGTACGTTTTTCTTTGTTCGACTGCCACTTGGTGTCGTGAGTTCCGAGTACTCTTTCAACATCGTGCGGGCACTCTCAGCAGGACCTTTTCCGCTGAACTTGGCTACGGTTGCAATCGCTTACATCCAGGAAAGTTCGAGTGTGTGATCCCGAAAGTGTCAACAATGGTAGAAAGAAAAGTTATGGGTCCCATAGAAGCTGCTTGCCCCTAAACAAATTGTGTTTGGAAGGATGTGTTTGGGGCCTTGAACTGTGCAGTCTTTTACGGCACTGTTAACTGATGTTCAAAGGCACTCTCTCTCTGACAGTAATCTCTGACAGTGCTCTCTGACAATACTCTCTGATAGAACTCTCTGACAGCATTTGCTGGTAGTGCTGTCTGGCAGTACTCTCCGCCCGAACTCTCTGATAGTGCTCTCTGACACCACTTGCTGACAGTGCTCTCTGACAGCATTTGCTGACAGTGCTCTCTGACAGCATTTGCTGACAGTGCTGTCTGACAACATTTGCTGACAGTGCTCTCTGACAGTAATCTCCGACAGAACTCGCTGA